AAAAATCTATAAAAAAGAGGATATAAATATCAATGCAGCAGAAAAAATGTTTAAAAACTTGCCACAAGTCTCTTCTACATATAACTTGTTTCTTATATAAGAAATTACACAAGAAGAAATCAGCAATATTATTAGAAATCTTCCAAATAACAAAGCTCCAGGCACAGATAGTCTAATATATGAGTTTTATAAACTTACTGAAGAAGCAATAACACCAGTTCTTCATGATGTCTTTAATTATGCTCTTAGTTTAGAAGCCATGCCAACCTCTTAATGCAAAAGTCTTATTTCACTAATATTTAAAAAAACAGAAAATCTTGCAGATGTAAATAATTGGAGACCAATATCACTAGTAAATAGTAATGCCAAAATTTTTATGAAGATTTTGGCCAATTATCTCAATCTTATATGTGAGAAATTGGTACCCTATTAATAACATAGATTTATTAAAAACAGATCTATTACTAATACAGCTCTCGACATTATTACTACTCTAAGAAATTAATCAGACTCTTTGAAACAACATTAGTTACTTCTCATTGATCAACAAAAAGCATTTGATTATATTAGTCATGATTTTTTAGAGCTTACTTTGAAGAATATGAACTTCAATCACAAGTTTATAAGCTTAGTATATAATTTTTTCTCTAATCAAAAGGCTCATATTATAGATGCTAGAGTTATCTCCAGACTACTTAGAGTAGAAAGAGGAGTTAGACAAAAAGATCCTCTTTTACTACTTCTTTATATACTAGCCTTTGAGCCTCTTATAAGAAACTTAGAAAGCCAATTACAAGATATAAAACTAGGAAATCAGTTTTTTAGAACTTCTGCTTATGCAGATGACTTAATGATAGGAGTTGGATTACCTTTAGACTGGAACAAAACTTTGGCAACACTAAGCCTATACAAGGTAGCTTCAAATGCAAAAATTAATAGAACTAAAACTAAATTAGTTCCTCTTATAGCTATAGCTTAACGAATAGAACTTCCTAATGAAAACCAATTTATTAAACTAGAAGAACCAGAAAAAATTACTATTTTGGGCTATAACATCCTTACTAATGGTCAACCAAAGAAAGATCTTTGGGCCACCACTATTAACAAGTTAAAAAAATCTCTTGACAAGCTTCTAAACAAAAATCTTTCTTTTAAAGGAAAAATTATAATCGCAAAATCACTTATTCTATTCAAAGTTTGGTACTTAGCCTATTTGCTTCCACCTAACAGTAAGCAAGTAGCAGAAATAAACAGAATTATAACTTTTTGGATTAAAGGCACATTATAAATGCTTCTCCGATATTCCACCTTTCAGCAATCAACAGAATTTGCAAGTCTTCAAGCCCCAGTTATCAAAGATATACTAGATGCTTACTTAATAACAGTTTGGATAAGGCTTCTTACATCCAACTCGATGTGGGCAATATATGAAAGAAATAAAATACAGTCTATACTTAAGGATAGAAGGAACATTTCTTCTAGTTGGGCTCTGAATTCTGGCAACATAAGTATGAAAGTCTGGCCTTCAGAATGGAAACCTTACTTAAAGGCCTAGACAAGAATTAAAAACAAAGTTTTATATACTTCTAACTGGCTCTATAACAGTAATAAAATCAGAATCAAAGAAATTAAAGAAAATGAACTCTCAGTCAAGAAAACTCTAGAACTTTTAAAAGAATCTTCTCTTTCACCGACTCTGTCACAAACTCCTTCACAGATATCACAACATATCTGACTCTTTTTGAAGTCTGTCTGTAACAAGAAAAAAGATGTTTTTTGGCACCTCTTTTATAGAGCACTTTTGCTAGGATATTGATTAAAACACATTGGATCATCAGAAACAGGAAGCTGTACTTGGTGCCCAAATGAAATACAAACTATAGAATACTTTGCTTTAGATTGTCCTCAAAGCATAATAATTTAGAAGAAAGCATACAGTTTTCTTAATATTAACAAAGAAATATCTATACTAGCTTCATTAAATGATATCTTTCAAGCCTCTAATAATACTTATCCTCAGGCTTTAGCAACTCTGACCTGGTTACATATTATCACAATTTATGAAATATGGTGTTAATACACTTTTGTAAAATGGTGAAATTCAGATACACCTCTTAATTCTTTAAACTTTCTTATTAGAAATCGTATTTCAAAAGAAATACGAATTCTAAAAAACAACTTTTCTAGTTCTAAATCTAAATCTTTTAAACTAATATATAAATATTTAAAAAGTAACTAAGTCACAAATAATACTTTTAATAAAAGAGCACTACCTGTGCTTCTAGTTATTGAGACAACAGGGATATTCAAAAAAAATAAAATAAAATAAACTGCTATTTTACAACTTGTTATTTTATAACATTATATTTATTAATAATTTAAATAAATAAATTGCTATATGAAACAATCAAATTTAATCTAGTTTAATAAAACAAATATCATGTATAATAATTACTTTATAAATTATATAATCCAGAATTATAGCTTAGCAATTATATATTTAACTGTTAAAGCAATAACTTGTAATGCAATTAACAAAATTATCTTAAAAATTAATAACTAAGTAAAGTGAAATTTATAATTATCTTATAAAATTAATAATTTGTTAATAGATTAAGTAAATTAATTGTCTAGTTTTGCTTTAACCTAGTTTAGTAATTTAATATTTATTATATATTCATATAACCTTATTCTTACAATATTTTATTTGCAAACACTTTGCTATATTATCTATTAATATTGATTTTTTTTCCTATCTAAAATAGTATATTAATTTATATTATACTTAGCTTTATTTGTAGTTAGTTTACCTTCATGCACATCTTATATTAGAAATTTATTGTAATATACTATTAGAAGAATCTTTAAGTTCATAATAACAAATCAATGCTATTATCTTTTTAGTATATTATATTAAATTATTATTATTTTCTAAATAAATACATGTGCAGTTGAATTTTATTAAAATGTGTTGCTCATCTGTGAAAATATTTAAAAAATAACTTTATATATTGAGAATGAATTGTTGATTAAAAAAAATATATTCAATAGCATAAATATGATTATGATTATTAATCTTATACTTTTATATATATATAATATTACCTTGGAGGCTTGTTTATATTAGATCTGATTGTAGCAACCTTTAAGCATTGTAATTGACAAATTAACACTATTTCTTTTTTAGTATACTATATTCAATTATTATTGTTTCTAAATTAAATTTGAATATCGAATTTCATTGAATGTGTTGTTCAGATATTTTATTTTGATAACAACAATTTGAGAAATCTATATATTAAAACTAAATTATTATTTAAAAGAAATTACTTTAATTGTATCAACAGAATTGTAATTATTACACTTTTTTTTTAATCTAAGTCACTATAGTAGATATGCAAAAGGTAATTCATTTATATATGATTAGTAACTATTAAAATTAAATAAAAAAAAAACAAAATAAAAATAAATCTTGATTACAATAATAGAATAAAACTTCTATATATTGAAAATAGATTGTTGTTTAAAGAAAATAATTTCAATAATGTTAATAAGTTTGTATGTAAGAAAAAATGACTTAATTTTTGTGTTAAATTAATAATAACAATACAAAAAAATTTTCTATATAATAAGAATAGATTATTGTTTAAAAGAATATCTTAAATAATACCAATAAAATTATAGATGTATGCATTCTTTTTTCTATATTAGAGTAAGTCTTTATTATAAGTATGTAAAAAAAAAATTATTTTACATATTGGTTAGTAACTATTTAAACAAAGAAATAAAATAAAACAAAATAAAATAAAAAAAGTATATAAACATCATCTTTTAACTTCTGAAGCTTTAGATTTATATAATCTTCAAAATATATATTAAAGAACTATAGTATTAAAAAATAACTTGTTACTTAAAATTAAAATATTGTATCTATATAATTAAAATTGTTAATTTTAATAAAAAATAATAAGAGTTGTTATTTCTACCTTCCACTTTTGCTAGTGCCACTCCTCATACTCAGAGCTGGCATCTGATATAGGTCACATGTCCTAAAATTTGTTACATAATATGCATCATTAATTAAGATTTATAGTAACACGAATTGAAACTTATGTGACTGATATAATTTTATTATACCAAAGTAGATATTGTATAAACATGCATAAAAAAGTGTATTATGCAATTGAATACTCTAATTTTTACTTTTACTAACACTAATTGCTTGATAACATATAACATTAGAGTTGCATATACTTATCAGTTACTGACTAAAAGATTCTGTACACTTTTATAAATCAGTCTGTAAAATATAATTTTAAGTAGGGATGTAAACCAAACCTGGTAGTTTGGGACTTAGTAAATTCTTAAAAGGTTTTTACTATTTTGACTATTGTGTAGTAATTTTGATATATCAAAAAAAAAGTGCATAAGATTGTACAATTGTATGCATTATGATTGTTTCTTAGCATACAATAATACTTGTCAATGAGTTTAGAATTATTATGTATAAATAGTTAATATTGACTTAAAGATAATATATATAAGATTGATGAGGTTTGAGATATGCAATAATCAATAAGCATTAATTTGGGTTTTGAATTAGGTTTGTGATTATGATGATGATTGACTCCAAAATCCAAATTAGATATAAATCTCATACTTGTTTATTTGGGTTTGATTTACATTCCTAATTTTAAGTATAAATCTCATATTTGCTCATTTGAATTTGGTTTACATCCCTAATTTTAAGCATATATGGTATCAGTAAATCTTAGCCAATTATAAGTTAGATAATAATCTAATGTATATATCATAATAATTTAGCAGACTAATAAAATTAATGACTTTATTCAGGGCTCAATTAGTTCATATACACTCTAATTCTATTTAATACACAATTTAAAGTAGCTAATAAAAAAATTCATACAGGTACACAAATAACCAAAAAAAAAAATTTTTTTAGCAAAATCACATATTAGGACAAGTGTAAGAGTTGTGACCTATTTGCTGACATGTATCACAATGTCTTGACTGCTTTTCAACATGCTTGAATTTAGATGGATCTCTTTATATTGTTCTCTTGTTTCTTGCACCAACTGGTCTTTCTCAGAGTTTGCTAGTAACTGGTTCATCTAATACAATATATGAAATATTTACTAACTCTTCTAGTTGGGACCAGATAGTATCTTGTTGATGTGATGGCCAGAATTGGTACATGTCTGCAAATAATTGCAAGAGAGGCTGGAGATTTGTGTAATCATTATTGACAAGGTATGTAGGTTTCAGAAATTCTATACAATGATCTTGAATTCACCAGTGTTCATGAATTTTACTTTTTGGTAATGCCTGATTAGCTACTAAATATTCACAAATTATATGTAAACAAGAAAGTTCTATCATTGATTTGAAAGTTCCTGTGCAAGATTTCAGAGAAGAATCTATATTGCATTTGATGCTTTAATATACTTATTATTGATCTTATTTAAGATAAAACAGAAACATAGTATAGAAATGGTTTGAAGAGAAAAATCTAATATGTATATTGTATTTTTATATATTGAGATAAAATTGTTATATGTATTTCTTTCACCTGTAATTCTACTTGTAGTATAATCTTGCAGTGCACTAACTCAAAGTCATCTGTGAATAAGAATGTAAAAAAAAAAATGAGTTAAAACATTAAACTTTTTTTTTTTTTTTAAATTGATATTCATGCTAATTTTAAATAATTATTATTTCTACCTATAGATGACTGCAAACATCTTTTGAAAATGGCATGCACTGCTTCAACTCTTGAAGTCACCATATTACCAAGATGCAAGTAGCAGTCAACCCAGGCAGAAACAAAATGCTTCTTATAGGGAATCCAGGTATTTTAAAGATATTTTAAGACTTGAGGTTTGTTTGTATAATATCTTAAAAATTCATTCTATTTAGTCATGAATACTTGTTCAGTATCAGATGCTGTTACCACTTGCTACATTCTTAAAAATTTAGTTCAACTCTCCTTTCTGCTAAAATATTGCTTACATTTGGCTAAAATATTTTTATTTAGATGCCATATATATAAGACATGCTAAGTACTTAGGAAAACCTTGTCAATAGCTTTTATTAATGCTAACTTTCTATCAGTAACAATCACATCAAGATAAGATAATTTGTTGAAAATTTTAAATACACAAGTTAAGGCCTACTCATAATCTGCTTCTGTTTTATTACTTAGAAAGATAAAACAAGAAAAAAATATGGTGTTAAAACTAGATACATTCACAACATTTATTAAAAGCATTTTATATTTATTCATCTAATATGTGCAATTAATTAGTAATATGGTAGGATAGGTGTAAGTTAAAGCTATAGATATTTTGTATGCAAAAAAGAGATATATAATATGGTTTTGTTGATCATATTGATACTCAAATTCAAAGTTAGATCCTTGTAATTTATAAAGAAGAGCTTGAACTGGTATTTGACTATCAAGCCTTTCTTAACAGATAAATTGCATGATGTTGTAAACTGTCTTTGATATAACTATTGAAGATGGATTATTCTGATGTATAGTTGCTAAAATTTGATGAGAACAGGAACTAGCAGCAGCTATTTGCTTAACCAGATCTTTTTGCTCAGTGTTTAACCTTTAAACAATCAGATATCTATTGATGCTTCATAATTGTATTTAGAGTTTCTTATTTCAAGATGCCAAATATTATTATGTCTAGATCTAAAAAGCTCAAATGAGCAATTCACAAATCTTGAAGCTGTTTTTCTATAGCATAAATCATCTGTCAAATTTAATTTATTCCTATAAAGGCTGCTTCTGTTACAGCCTAATGTTATATTGTAATAAAATTTACTAAAAACTATCAAGCTGTAGCAAATTTTAAAGTGATGAAGGTCGAGTGAAAGATCTTTT